AATCCTTTCTCTCTCTCTCTCTCTCTCTCTCTCTCTCTCTCTCTCTCTCTCTCTCTCTCATCTCACGATATATCCGCTTTTTTGCCCCAGTGCCGAGACATTCGTAAATTATTTCTCGTCTCCGTCTGTCGTCGATTCATCCTTCGTGCGCATATCCCGGGAGATAACCTGGCACGGTGGCTGGACGCAAAACAAAATAATTACGCGTCAGATTTGACGGTCGCACGAACCCGTGGACCTCGTAATAATCACAGCGTTTCGTGTATAACACGCGTGCACATCGATCCTTCTTCCCCGCTACTGGCACGCGTACGGTGCTAAGAATATCGTTTGGCCCAGTGCGACTCGTGGCGCCGGGGAAACACGTTCTTCTCGTCGGCACATTTTAAAATAGCCCGCGCGAGCGTATACTATATAATTTGGAAGGAAAAATGCGTGCCAGTCACCCGTTGCCGGAAATGGCGCCTCGTTCAGCCACGCACGATGTTTCTCGATCTCTCGCCGCGAGACGAATAGCGTTTCCTTTTGCCGCACTTCGTCAACACTTCGTTAAAATTTTTTATCGTCGTCATTACGTTGGAACGTGTCGTTCGTCGCGGATATTACGTAAGTCGCACGAGGATAAATAAAACGTATCGGAGATCGAGTAAACCCATCTCTTTGGGTTTTCGTTTCGAGTTGCATTACTCGATTCGAGTTGAGGAAAGTTGTTACAATCTGAAAATTGAACAATGTTGGATTCTTTGCGATACACGAAAGATCCTTTATCGAGTTGCATACAGTTATACATCGTCGTGCGTCTGACACCTGTTGACTCGCCGATCATCTTTGCCTGGAAAACGAGATTTCAGTCAAGAGAGAGATAGAGACAAACGCGTATAAATTCCAATTCCTTTGTTCTTTTTATTCATTCTCTTTATACTTACTCTTTATTCGATATTACGTATCATTCTTCCCTTCCTTGTTTCTTAACTTGAAAAATTAAATTAGATCGTCCCTACGTTTCAAATCATAGCCATCGAAATAACGAAAAGACCTCTTGGAACAGCTTAACAACTTTACGAGGCGTTGATTTTAACGATGCAATGTAGGTGATGATTTCAGATTTATACATTTAGATTCCGCGCTAACCAATGTCTTGGTTTTCTTGTTCGTAGAATATGGGCATCAAGGATGACTTCCACCAGAAGACCATCTTGGCTTGCATCGAGGAGCTCTGTCAGACACCGGTGGTCGGTGCTACGTTGTCGGCCTCCACGACCACGTTGAACGCGTCCTCCGCCAATGTGGCCAACGATGGTGGCAGCAGCGGGTCCGTGGCCACCGGCAATTCGCCTCACACCCTTATGCCTCAGAGTTTCAGCGTGCTGGAGAAGTGCGATAAGTGCCATAAATATCTCAGGGGCCTCCTGCATCAAGGCTTTCTCTGTCTAGGTAAAGAATCGATGGCCTGATAATCCGTATCGAGATAACGTTTCCTTAAAGAAAAAAAATCTTGTTCCTTTTTTCTTTTCTTTTTCTTTCGACGAACTTAATAATAAAGCAACGTCGTTATATACGTTGGAAATTTCGCCCATATTCGAGGTCGAGAAACGCGGTTATTTTAACGATATTAGATTTAGTTCAACTTGTCGCTTATCATTTGATCGTCGATTAGAGTTTCGGGACACGATTTAATCGTGTTTTGCCTCTACTTTTTATATAATCATGTCTCGTTTCTTTTTCTCTCTTTGGATAGATTGCGGTCTGGTAGCTCATAGGACGTGTACAGCGACGGGTTTACCCTCTAACTGCTTGCCGGTCGACTCGGAAAATCGTGCTCATAGATTTACTCCAGGTAAGTGGCACAAAGAAGTTGTCGCGGTATAAAACGGCGCACACCTCGCGGTGGCGTTCAGTTTCGTAATGTGACATTGATACGGCTTGGCCGTAACACGCCCATTACTTCTTCGTTACGTTAATGGACCCAACACGGAAACAATTTAAAAATTCAGATGTCTTTTAGTTGACTATCCCGGATTGCATCAGAAACGTGTTCGCTGACGTTGGAACTGCTTTGCAATCGCGCGCCAGAGTCGATTATATGAAGTTTGAAGCAAGGACATTTGACGTGGCGCATTACTAGTGTTGATCTAATATCTGAATAACTAAATATTCATGCGTCTTTCGAACGTTGGTGGCCGGAGCTGGAAGAAGATAGAAAATGTTATTTCATTCGGTCACGTTCGCAGCTTCATTTTCCTCTCCTCTTTCGCGTATTTTGGCTAGAGAACGAGAGAAGGATCGTGATCGTCGCCGCTTTCCAACCAACTCTCGACGCCTACAATGCGACCATGGACGCATGTGCGTAACTCGTGCGAGCTGTTGGCGCGAACTGCAGACGGTCTTCTGAGAAATTCCACGATTACTCTCGGAATCGTCATCGAGAGGACGGCCGTATAATAGATAAAACCGTGCGCGAATCTCGCCACTCTCCACACTCTCGTACGCCGGTATCGTCCTCCTCGAGGTGCACACACTCGTTGGATCTCGTGCATGCGCGTTAGCCTTCCGATGACGAGAGGTAGTGGTGGTTTCATTAAGTTGTTGGTCGCGTCGCGTCGTTGTCAACGCGATGAGGCAGGCGCGCACACGGAGAGTGGCGGAACAATCTGCGTAGTCGCGTTATTTATGAAATTCGCTCACGCAAGATACGATCTATAAAGCCGGTCGTTTCGTTAGAAACTGGTCGTGTTTTTTTAAAAATTCGCACGCGGGAAGGAGAGAGGAGTCGCAGGTCGTTCCATCGTGGCCAAACATGCAAGAGTCGCGATCATTCGGACCAAGACAATAAAAACATTTCCACGTACTCCTCGTAAAATTGGAACGTCCTCGTTTCGAATTGTACGGCGCCAGTCGCGATTTCTCGCCGATATCGCAGCTTTCCTTCGGGGACCCCGTGACCAGTCAACCGATCGTCGAGAACAACCGTGACGAATATCGAATTTCCGTATTGACCTCTATCCAACCAACCCACCTTCGATCCATACTTATATATATGCTACACGCGGTGAATATCATCCCGCGCGCCTTTTAATCCCAACTTTTCTCTTCCGTGTCTCTGTCCTCTCTCGTCTCGCTAGAGAAGACACGCGCCGCTCGTCAAGAAACAAAATGTCGTAGTCGTAAAAATAAATTTCTTTCTCCTTCCTTTCCTGCGTGAAATTCTCTCGGTACCTCCTCCTCCATCTTCTTCTTCATCCTTTTCCTTCTCTTCTGCTTTATCCTTCTTTTCCTTCCGATCCTCTCTCTCTCTCTCTCTCTCTCCCTCTCTCGCTCCATCGCTCTCTTTCTCTATTTCTCGATCTCTTTATAATGCATGCGTACACGCCTTTGATTGAAGTGAGATACGCGGTATTGACGATAAGTCGGCTCGAGTCGCGCGGCTAGTTCGAAAATACGATCTCTACGCCGTGCTTCGAGTCGCATTCTCGAGAGAGCAGATAAGGAAAAACAGGATAGTCATCGAATAGAATAGAGGCCGACGTTTAAAGCGGCATAGAGAGAGAGAGAGACTGATTCGAGCCCGCCGAAATGGTGTTCGAAGGACGCGTAGAATCTGATACCTGGGTTTTTCAACCACACGAAAGATCATCATACATCGTAGAATTCTTCATCGAGGCAAGAAATGACGTTACGTAATTTCAAAAGTGCGGGCGCGATCGTTTTTCACCCGATCGGCCCCGGATTGGAAGAGAAAGAAATCACCGGTTCCCCGGAACACGCGTTCCCTCCTGACTTCTTTACGATTTTACGCGTTTGTATGCCGAGCGTCTGGAATGCGTCTGTGAGATGTCAAGAATTTTTTTCTTCCCAACATGTCCATAAAAACCGACGAATCTCTCGCAGATGCCGACTTCTCCCGGTCGCTGTTTCCAATTCCGTCGTACGTGTTCCTCCTGGGAATGTCAATTCGACGCGACCAATTAATTTCGCCTCGCGATTATTTGCCCGGTCGCGAGTGGGTCAACGGCTCGGCCGTTGCGCATCTTTTACGTGCACCTGTTCGCACGCGCTCTTTTCCTCCCGCCGGCTCTCTTCCCTTTGACACACGCGTTCAAACGCTCCGTAATCCGCTTTCCAGTGGATTCTCCCGCGTCGACAGTAGTCCTCTCGATATTCTTTCCCGTTCGCGATCTCGATCTCTCGCCAGTCGTCGTCCACGCAGTCATCGCTGTTTCATCGTTTCTTTTCCACGCGGCCTATCGACGCGGCGGCGATGCTCGTGTTCGATTCTCGTATCATTTACAACCGAGGAGGTCACGCGACCGCTCGGTTGCGCGCAAACACCAGAAACACCGCATACGTACCGAACAAATGAAAGTTTTATTATCGGCCGCGCGTTGAAAAAATTCCTACGCGCACGCGGAGGCTCGGGCGAAAGAAGCGACTAACATAAGTCCTTAGGCTTAGAGGCCGTGGTAATAAATAGAACAGTGAAAGGTAGAACTTCGTGGTTCTTTTTTTTCCTCTTTCTCTTTTTTCCTTTTCTCGTTTCGATCGACGTCCACAATTTCATGGTGCTAAAACTTATCAGCGTAGAATATTTTAAATACCTTAAATACGTTGACATGCCCGCCCCTACGGCTAAGGATGTACTCGAGACGGTGAAAAGTAACCTTTTTTTCTATTCTCGTTACTCCGAAATTGTATCTATTCCGTTCAAGCACGGCTTGTCGTACAAGTGTATAATTTCTTCTCTCAATTGCAGTATTCGGTCTTGGCCTGTGCTCGCAATTCGACATCTCCTCGCGTCCAGCTCCATTGTTGGTGGAACGATGCACCAGTGCCTTGGAGGAGAAGGCATCCGAGGACAGCACGTTGGATCTGTACAAAGTCTATCACAGTAGTCCTCCTAACGAGCAAACCTTGGAATTGCGGCAAAAATTGAACGAAGGTAAATTTGTATTATTTGTTTCTAGATAGATCCGTGCCGATTAAGTCGATACATCGTATACCACGATGATTCAATTTTCGGAATAGTCACGTTCAATCCTTGACTTTTCAGATGTGTGTAACGCTGATTTAAGTTCGTATAGTGCACAATGCGTAGCGGGCGTTTTGAAAAAGTTTCTTCGAGAATTGCCAGATCCTGTGATCCCTGTACAGTTTTACGATAGATTTATAGAAGCATCCAGTGAGTATACATACGAACGAATATTAAAGCGATATAGTTTTATTATAAAATGATAGAGAGAGACACACTTGCAACCTGTATATCTTATCCTTTTGATACAGATATGAAGAACGATGAACAGTGTGCGGCACGTTTGGGACAGCTCGTCTCGGAACTTCCGGAACATCACCGTAGTACCTTGTTTCATTTGATGGCTCATTTTTGTCGGATCTGTCAATTACAACACGGAAGGGGTTACATAGAACCCCCTACCATCCTTATACAAGTGCTGTGTCATATCTTCGTCAGACCACCTTGGGAAAGGATCGTGTAAGCACTCTCAAGCTCGAAGCAATCATTCCGCCGCCACACTTCCTACAATTTTTCTTCGACGATCGATCATTCGTTTTTTGCAGACAAATTGTTCACAATATAGAAGCTCATATACGAATAGTGGAGGTGTTGCTGTTACACGGCGATTGGAACGAGAGACTACCGCAATTTGCAAGTCCACCGCAGTTACCGCCGCGAAAAGTTTCGAGGCCGCAGTTTCCAGTTTTAGATCCATTCTCCGTTCTCGACGAGGATAATTCTATGGACCGAACAGTGTCAGTTTCAGAGAGCAAAGAGTCGCAACAGCAACCCCACAGGTAAACAAACCATTCGTTTTTGTCCTGTATCCAAATGGCGTGCTTCTGATTATACTATATTCGCTGTGTTTTCGACGAAAAGACCACGCACGCTTCAGGAGGCTGAATGGTATTGGGGAGACATCACTAGAGACGAGGTGAACGAGAAGATGATCGACTCGCCGGATGGTACTTTTTTGGTACGTGATGCGTCTTCTAAGGGTGGGGAGTACACACTGACATTGCGCAAAGGTGGGACCAACAAGCTTATCAAGATTTGTCAACGGAACGGAAAATACGGCTTCTCGGAGCCGTATAACTTTCATTCGGTTATCGAGCTGGTGGATCATTATAGGAATTGTTCTCTGGCGCAGTATAATTCGACCCTAGATATTAAGCTATTGTATCCGGTATCTCGGTTTCAACAGGTAAAATTTTGCTAAAAATTTAAAGGCTTAACTTAAACGTGACTCGATCTACTTATCTTTGCCTATGATATTTTATTTTAAATTAGGATGATGAAATTGCGAGTACAACAGATATGGCGAACGT